TCGCATGCGCGTTGCACGGGGGCGCTGGCGAATTGCGCAAGCAAGTGCAAGTGCTGCAACGCCGCATTCTTTCGCGACATCGCGCGCCCCAGACGGCGCGACTCGGCGGCAGCGTTTCCAATCGAAAGAGGATTAAAGTTCTGGGCGCGGCCCAACCAGATGGAGCGACGGAGGCGCGACGAGAGGTTTCGCGCCGACGCGAGGACGCCGAGGCCCTCATCGCCAAGGGCAGGGGGCTTTGGACCGATGGCACCGTCTGGCACTGCGTGGACTTTGCCGAGATTGCGGAGAGAACCCTTTTGCGCGCGAGTCTCGGTGCCAAACCATTTGCTGACACAGAGGAAAGAGGTCGCGTGACTGCTCGGGCCAAAGGCGTTGCACGCGTCGCCACTCTCGCTGCGAGCGAGGCCGTGATCGGCATCCGCGCGGACCCGAAGAAAGGACAGGCACTGGCGTCGGGCGCGGCCCGCCGCCCTGCGCGACAGGACATGTTCATGCGGCGCCGCGCTGACGAGCGCCCCGTCGTCGCCCCACTCGGTCGACGGAGCGGGGGGTGGCAGCCGACCCCCCCGCCCCAAGTGGAATCGAACAAGGGGCGGTTCCGATCGCCCCATTTTCGCATCATCCACTCCTGCGCGCACCCGTGCACGCGATGTCCCCGGCGCCCCCTCGGCGGCCACCCCTGCCCCCGGCGTCGCCGCCGCTGCTGCGCCCAGGGGGCATCAGTTCAAAGGGCGCGCGCGGGCGCCGACAATCTCGCTCTCGCTCGCGTGCCGCAGCGAAAATCGCGCTCTTATTACGCTTCCGAGGCGAACCACAATGAAGACGAAGTGGCGCGCTCAATACGGGCGCGAGGAGTGGGGCGGATAGGCGCGCGCGGACCCCGGATGCGGCGACTCATGCTTCCACCGCGACGCTGAGGGGGCCCATGCCCCTGCAAGCACGCGGCGTCGCCGTGCGCCAAGATTCCCAGACGTGCTGGAGGGCATTGGACCAATGAGCGACGTGCGCAAATCGACAATCGTTCTTGCTGCATGTTGCAGCCTCCTGTCGCATACCCCCCCGTGATTTGGGATTGCCTGCGGCGCGGGCCTGACCTCGGGCCCCCCCGAGCGTCGCGCGTCGACACGCGGTGTAGCCGCACGCGTTGATGGGATGCATGTGGGGGCGACGGCGACAGCCATTTCGCGGCGCACTACTGCGCGTGGAGCTCGGCGACTAGAGTTTCTTGCGATTGCATGTCGTTTACGCAGCCAGGGCGGATAGACAGACTTGCCGCGCCAGCGCCGATAACCTTTCTGGCTTGCAAGACAGCGTAGATCGCGAACGAAGAGATTGGGATGGCTCTACGCGCTGCGTATCGACTGCATAATGTTTGGGTGAATGCGGTCGGCTGTAATTGGTGAAGAATGAGAGCGTTTTAACGCGCGATGTTTCACTACAGCTGGAGCTGCGCAACACGCGCCCCCCTTCGCATCCACTAAAGGAAAGTCTCACTGGATTGGGTGACCCAGCGTGAATATTCGGGCCGCTACAGCGTCGCCAGGCGCCGCGACTGCTAGCCCAGCTGCGCGAATACATTCTGAGCGTATGAAGAAGACACCGCACGTGTTTGTCTTGGCCGGCGCAGCAGGAGGAAGGACAAACACGGACGGCTCGTGCATTAATCCGTTTTCCCCATATCCTAAGCTGGGGTTCTTGTTATTTAATCGCTTCGCTCATTCCGCCGGCCCATATTGTCGCACCGTTGTGGGCTAGCCGAGTTTTGGGGCCTCTTTGGGGCTGTTTTGGGGCCTCTTGGGGCCTCTTTTGGGCCTCTTGGGCGCCTCTTGGGGCCTCTTGGGGGCCTCTTGGGGGCCTCTTGGGGCCTTTTTGGAGCCTCCTGGGCGCCTTCTGGGGCGGAGGGCTCGATTTTTCAGTTCTCAGTTCCCCTCTTGAGCCCCTCTTGGGCCCGTCTTGGGGCCTCTTGGTCCGTCTTGGGCGGCACTTGGGCCGTCTTGGGGGCCCTCCTGGGCCGTTCCGGGGCCGTCTTGGGAGCCTCGTGGGCCGTCTTGGAGCGGTCTTGGGGGCCTCTTGGGCCGTCTTGGAGCGTCTGGAAGCCGAAAAAGCCAGAACGCAAAAAACGTAGAAAAAAATAATGAAAATCAACGATTTTGGCCTCTTGGGGCCCTCTTCGGAGGCCTCTTGGAAGGCCCTTGGGGCGTCTTGGAGGCCTCTTGGGCTGTCTTGGGGCCCTGTTGGGCGTCTTCGGGCGATCTTTGGCCGTCTCGGGGCCCTCTTGGACCGTCTTGGAGGCTTCTTGGGGACCTCTTGGCCCGTCCTGGGGCCCTGTAACAGAACTCCGGCATCTCTGACCCGACCTTGCCGGGGACTTGCCGGGACCTTGCCGGGGTACTTTTCGTCCGGGGACCCCCAGGGGCCGCCCCGCGCGCGCGAACTAGAAATACTGTTAACCAGGTACCGGAGATCTTAGCACGCCCTGGCCCGTTGGGCCGGGGTTCTTGTTATTACTTGGACGCCTCCTGCTCCTCCTTCTCCGTCCTCTTCCCGTCCTCTCCTCTTCTCGTCTCTTCTTATTCGGACTCACTCATACTCAGACTTACTCATGCCCAGACTTACGCACACACAGACTTACTCATACAGATACCTACTCACACCCATACTTACTCGTACCCATACGTACAATTACACAGACTTACTCCTACACAGACTTATTCATATGCAGGCTCATACCCAGACGTGCACATACACAGACTTACTCATACACAGACTTACTCATTCCCAGACTTACCCATACCCACACGTACTCATACACATACTTATTCATAGTCGGACCTACTCATATTCAAATTTTCTTACAGTTTGCCTTCACATCAGATTTGGAGGATGTCTCAGGCGGGACGCTGGTTTCAGCACCCCGAGTGGGAGCCGCCAGGGGTGTTTGCACGGGCCCGTTCGCGGCCATTGTGTGGGGATGTCTTAGCCGGTGTGCCTGTTTCGGTGCTCGACACCCTTCGCTTGGAGAGCAGGTTGTGAGGATGTCTCAGGCGGGGCGCTGGTTCCAGCACCTCTAGGGGGAGCCGCCAAGGGTGTTTGCACGGGCCCGCTCGCGGCCATGTTGTGGGGATGTGTCAGGCGGTTTGCCTGTGTCGGTGTTCAACACCCTTCGCTTGGAAAGCTGATTGTGAGGATGTCTCAGGCGGGGCGCTGGCTTCAGCACCCCTAAGGGGAGCCGCAAGGGGTGTTTGCACGGGCCCTTTTGATTGTGAAGATGTTTCAGGCGGGTCGCTGGTTTCAGCACCCCGAATGGGAGCCGCCAGGGGTGTTTGCACGGGCCAGTTTGCGGCCAGTGTGTGGGGATGTCTCAGGCGCTTTGCTTGTTGCAGTGCTCAACATGTTTTGCTGTCGTAGCAGAATGTGAGGGTGTCTCAGGCGGCGCGCTGGTTTCAGCACCCCTCAGGGGAGCAACCAAGGGTGTTTTCACGGGCACGTTTGCGGCCAGTTTGTGGGGATGTTTCAGGTTGTTTGCTCGTGCTCATACCCAACATCCTTTGAGTTCAGAGCGGGTTGTGAGGATGTCTCAGGCGGGGCGCTGGTTTCAGCACCACTAAGGGGATCCACCAGGAGTGTTTTACGGGCCCGTTCGCGGCCAGTTTGCGATGATGTTTAATACGGTTTGCTCGTTTTCATACCCAACATCCTTTGATTTCAGAGCGGGGTGTGAGGATGTCACAGGCGGGGCGCTGGTTTCAGCACCCCTAAGGGGAGCCGCCAAGGGTGTTTGCACGGGCCCGTTCGCGGCCATTTTGCGGGGATGTCTCAGGCGGTTTGTTCGTTTTCATACCCAAAATCATTGGCCTTGAGAACAAATGTTGAGGATGTCTCAGGCGGGGCACTGGTTCCAGCACCCCTAAGGCGAGCCGCCATGGGTGTTTGCATGGGCCCGTTCGCGGCCAGTTTGTGGGATGTCTCAGGCGGTTTGCTCGTTCTCATGCCCAAAATCCTTTGCTTTCAGAGCAGATTCTGAGGATGTTTCAGGCGGTGCGCTGGTTTCAGCACCCCTAAGGGGAGCCGGCAGGGATGTTTGTACGGGCCCGTTCGCGGCCAGTTTTTGGGGATGTCTTAGGCGATTTTGCTTGTTCCAGTGCTCAACATCTTTGGCTTTCAGAGCAGATTGTGAGGATGTCTCAGGCGGGGCGTTGCTTCCAGCACCACTGAGGGGAGCCGCCATATGGGCGATTCATACTCACTCATTCGCATTCGGATTCACTCGTCTTCGTCGGCCCTGTCGCCCATTTGGACGCGCTATTGTAGTCAAACGTTCATGAACAGGCGCTCACTATGACATGACATAAAACATGAGATGCACATACGGGGAGCTCCACGCAGTGAGTAATTGTTGCGTCGTCCGGCGAGGTGCCCCGGAGGCTGCCGCGTCATGGTCAGGCTGCCGCGGCGTCCACCTTTTTGCAACGGGCCTGCATCTGTCCGATTTGGGTTTCACGAGAGACGCGATCATCCGCGTGCGCATTCAGTTCCCCTGCCCACCCTTGCATTGCACGCCCTCCACCCCCGCTGGCGCTAGAATCCGTTTACGGATGGACCGGGAGGCGTCGTGATGGGCAGTTTCTTTTCATTTCTTTCGCCGATCAAGGGGGCTTTTCAGTGCGGTGTGCAGCCTGGTCTGGTTGAGGACCAATTTCCTTTGCACCCGAATATTTTCCCTTGCGTTTCGCTTCCCGCGTCTCGCGGGTGTGGTTTCGGAGCGGGGGGGGTGCGGGGATAATTTTTTCTTCACCGATCTTTCCTGTGCCCGCTGTCGTTGCGGCTCGCATGTATAATTTGTTGACGATCCGACTGTTGGACTAGGGCCCCAGTCGTTCCTCTGGCTCCTCTGCTTTTTATCTCGTCGTGTCGCGTGCTCCTGATCCTCCAGCCGCTGCTGTTGCACTGCTCGTCGTCGTCGTGTTAAATTTCCCCCCTGTCACGCATTGAACGAG